CGATGAAGTGTTTTGTGGGGACAAGTCACCAAAGTGATGGTGCTGATTTTGGGGGTGGGCTGCATGTACATGATGTCTGCTGGAGGGGCAACCCCTCCCCAACCTATACACAAATTCCTGCAACAGTTTGACAAGCGCAGCCGCTGGCGCGGCGCATCTTTGGTAAATGAGCACACCCAGTCTCAAGTCCTTTAGAGATAAAGTAGGTATACATTTCAGTAATACCTGGGTATATATGTATTTTGTTTTTCTAGCTTGATCACAATTATTTATTACTTCTTAACAGGTAGATGGTTAAGAGCTTAGGCGGCTTCAGTGGCAGCCCCTGGCCCCCACCCCTTGCACCCCCCAGGTACAGACGGCCCTGGCCCTCTCCGAGGCTCCGTCCAGCTCTGGGCTGCTGCTGCTGCTGCTGCTGCTCACTTGCAATCATAATTAAAGCTTGCTGCGTGTCCTCTGTTTTTTCTTTTCAAGGGAGGGTAACAAAATCAGACAAATTGCATTTATTCCCTTTCAATGGCGCAGAGCCAGCCAGGCAGGCAGGGGAGAGGGCAAAGCGACACATCAGCGCAGCTCCCCCTTCCCTCGAAGGCTCGGGGTACGCTTGGAGTTGCGGGCGCGGGCGGGCGGCAGGACGAATGTCAGCCCCCTCAGGATGGCACCCGGGGTGGTCCAACCCCACCGCCCCCACCTTGTTCCACCTCTGTTCCCCTGGCCTGGGGTTCCCTCCCTTGGGGGTGGGATAAACGTTTAGTTGGGGCTGGGGATTAGTTTAATTTGAGTATAAATGTAAGTTTTTCTGTGTTGTTGTTATTGTTAAAATTAGCTTCTACTGACTCATTGGGTTATTGTATAGTTTGTATTTGGTTCTTAAGGGGAGAGGGCCAGGGCTGCCGGGGAGGGGGCCCCAGCCAACAGAATGGCTGGGACAAGTTCGGGGGGGGGTCCCAGCCCCGATCTCAGTGATCACGGAAAGGAGGAGTTACACTAAGGCGAGACCATGTCATTGCCGGATGGACACTGGAATCAGGAAGGGAGACTGATGGTGCTGCTGTGCAATGCCAGGTCAATGACTCATAAGACCACTGCCATCCATGACTTCATCGTGGATGGGGGACTTGACCTGGCATGTGTAACAGAGACTTGGTTGGAGGAAGCAGATGGGCCTGTCCTTGCTGCTGCTTGTCCACCAGGTTTCTCTTACGCACAGCGTAAGAGACTGGGCAACCTATAAAATGTTATGGGAGGAAAAGGAAAACAAACTGAGTTTAAAGAAATTTGAAGAAATTTGCTCCCAACTAACTGACTAATTTCAATACTTTCAACTCAATGAGAGATTTAGTAAAGATAAACAAAAGGGCTTCTCCACAGAGAAATCCAAATTAAAGGAAAACTTAATTCAATCTAAAGGGAAGTATTTATCTCAAATGTATAAGCTCCTCCTTGGCTGGGAAGTCAGGGAGGAAGAGGTAAAATCAGTGGTGGTCCATTAGGTAATGGACCTTGGTCACAACATTTATATGAATGAGTGGGAAGAGGATCTAAAATTCACTGCATGTTATAATTTGAAAGAAAATGTGTTTAAAATGTTCTATCGTTGGCATCTTACTCCAGCCAAACTAGCTAAGATGCATTAAAAAAAAAAATGAGTGTCTGCTGGAGATGGAAGAAAATTGAAGGTACAACAATACATATGTGGTGGGAAGGTGAGAAGATACGAGATTCTTGGTCACGGAAAGTTTGAGTTAAAATTCTGAAGGCCACCCCCATTTGCTCATGAATAAACAAGTTGAAGGGGATGTGATAGTCTGGCAGACCTAGAGCTGGGGGCGGATCTTAATTCTCTCTTAAGCTGTTCAAAACTTGAGTATGCCTCATTGTTCCAGATTAACTCATTGGATGGTCTTGTCAGGTCATGGCTGATAGTGGCTTTGTTATTTTGCTGTACCCGGCTATTCAAGCCCCGCAGAATCTTGCCATGCCTAGGAAGCCTCACAAGTTGTCGCTTTGTTTTTGGCAAGGGAATTTAGTGACGGCTTCTATCCTATCGGTGGCTAAGCTTCGGGTGCCGACACCTAGAATACGTCCTAGGTATTTGATTTCCTGTTTGCAGTATTGTATCTTTTTAGGGGATACTTTTGTCCCTTGTTAGCGAGGGCAGTGGGGAGCTGTTTAGTGTCTGTTTTGCATGCTCCCTTGCTTGTTGTGCATATTGTTGTTGTTTAGTCATCTAGTCTTTTTCAGGTGGTTCACAATTTAGCGGAACCACCTGCTACATCGGGGCCCAGTACGGGCCACATGATCTCCTGCAATGATTTTGCAAAGTTTTTTGCAGATAAAATCGCTCAGATTTGGGAAGAGGTAGATGCCACCGTGGGAGCAGGGCCGGGGCGGGAGAGTGCTAGAGTCCTGTCTAGTCAAGTTGCGTGGGAACAATTCCAACCTGTTACCTCCGAGGATGTGGACAGGCTGCTTGGACGAGTGAAGCCAACCACCTGTCTCCTGGATCCTTGCCCATCCTGGCTGATAAAAGCAAGCCGGGAAGAGCTGGGCGATGGGCTTCGTGGGGTGGTGATTGCTTCCTCCGTGAGGGAGCCTTCCCAGACCCGCTGAAAGAGGCGGTTATTAAATTGCTTCTAAAAACCATCTTTAGATGCGGCCACGATGGCCAATTATCGCCCAGTCTCAAATCTTCCATTCTTGGGCAAGGTCAGAGCTTGCAGGGCACCGGTGCGCGCAGTTTGATCCATCTTTTAGATTTAGGGAGCTAGTCTCAAACATTTGTTGGGGAGACCTAGGTTTTTTGTGGGGAGTTATTTGTCCTGTCTTCACACTTTTTATGATGGAGGACCGCTGTAGCCACCCCCAACGACACGTTCTCAAGATGGAGGGGGAGGGAACAGCTGCAGTCGCCTGCGGTTCCTGCGCAATGTTTGCCATCTTGCCAAAGGTTGCAGGCAGCTTTACCTGCAGCAACTGCATGTTGATTGCCCTCTTAAAAGACAAAGTCCAGCAACTGGAGGAACGTGTAGCTACGCTCCAAAGAATTAGAGAGCTGGAGCTCTTCTTGGAAGCAACAGAGCACACCGTCTCCACCAAGGAGGAGACAGGGGACTCCCCTGAGAAGGAGTCTAGTTCACCAACAGAGGAGCCAGATATATGGAGAAACATGACTCAAAGAAGTAGGAGGCCCAGGGTTCGCTCTGATTGTTTAGAAATACACAATCGCTTTGAGGTCCTCTCCCCTAGCATGGAAGACGAAGAGCAGACTCCATTTGAGGATCTCTCCCTCATTACAGTCGATCAGGTATATGAAGACGAGCAGCAAAGTCAGTCCTCAGGAATGTGCAGGCGACCTTGGAGCGGACAGCTCACGGAAGAACCCGACCAAACCTAAGAGGAGGCGTGTAGTGGTGATAGGGGATTCCCTACTGAGGGAACAGAAGCAGTGATCTGTGGGCCTGACAAGATGTCTCGGGAAGTGTGCTGTCTCCCAGGGCTAAGATCCAAGATGTAACTGAACGACTGCAAGGAATCATAAAACCCACTGACAAATACCCCTTCCTCTTGGTTCATGTAGGAACCAATGACACTGCAAGCAATAGCCTCCAGAAGATCAAAAGAGACTACGAGGCTCTGGGCAGGAAATTGAAGCAATTAAATGCACAAATTGTCATCTCATCTGTCCTCCCAGTTGAACGACGTGGCCCAGGGAGAGAGGGAAAAATAGTGGAAGTGAACAGCTGGCTTCGCAAATGGTGTAAACAGGAACGGTTTGGATTCTTAGATCACGGACTGCAGTTTCTTGAAGATGGACTTCTGGCAAGCGATGGGCTGCATCTCACAACGGTTGGGAGAAATGTTTTTGCCAAAAATCTCAGAAACCTCATCATGAGGGCTTTATTTATTTATTTTTAAATGATATTTATTAGAGTTTCCAATAAAAAGAACACATCAATAAAAAAAATTAAAAGAAAAAAGAAAAATACACAGTTCAAAAATACACAATACATAATCCAAAAAAACAAAAAACAAAAAAAAAGACAAAAAAGAAAACAGTTAAAAACAATACCACCTTTTCATCACCATTTTTAACTTTACTTATTTTCTGGACCTCCTCATACCTCCCTCTTTTGTATTCCAATTCAATTTGTTTGTCCAGCAATTTCTTTCCCTCTTTTTTAATCCCAATCCTTAATCTTAATATAATATAACATCAGGAGGGCTTTAAACTGACTAATGTGGGGGAGGGAGACAGTGCTCCTGAAGGTAGGAGTCTATCAATTGATGAAGATGATCATCCAAATGTCATAGACCAAATGGAGCAAACAGCACACAGACCTAGTGGTGGGAGGAAAAAATCCTTAAATAAGAGACACGGGGCAATGATTAATGGACTTCAATGTCTGTACACTAATGCGCAAAGCATGGGAAATAAACAAGATGAGCTTGAGCTCTTGGTACAGCAAACTAAATATGACATAATAGGCATCACTGAAACCCGGTGGGATAAGTCCCACGATTGGAATGTAATAATGGGGGGATACAATCTATTTCAGAGAAACAGACCAGACAAGAAAGGAGGAGGAGTGGCGTTATATGTCAGGGATGTGTATACCTGTGAAGAGATCCAAAATTTAGAACCTCAAAGCCAAAGTGAGAGCATTTGGGTCAAAATTAAGGGAGAGAAGAATAACAGTGACCTCATTGTGGGAGTTTACTATAGATCCCCAAGCCAAACGGAGGACATAGATGATGCCTTCCTGGAACAGATGGCCAAGCATGCCAAAGGAAGGGAGATAGTAGTAATGGGGACTTCAATTACCCGGATATTTGTTGGATGTCAAACTCAGCCAAGAGCATAAGGTCAAACAGATTCCTCACTGGCCTTGCAGACAACTTCATTGTCCAGAAAGTGGGAGAAGCAACAAGAGGAACAGCCATTTTAGATCTGGTCCTAACCAATGTTGATGACCTGGTTAGTGGGGTAGAAGTGGAAGGATCATTAGGCGCGAGTGATCATGCTCTTCTGAAGTTTACTATACAGCAGAAAGGAGCAGCCAAGCATACTAGGACTCAATTTCTTGACTTTAAGAAAGCCGACTTCATAAAACTTAGGGAAGTGCTGGGTGAGATCCCATGGACAGTAATACTAAAAGGAAAGGGAGTTCATGATGGCTGGGAGTTTGTTAAGAGGGAGATAGTAAAAGCACAACTTCAGGCAATACCAATGAGACGGAAACATGGAAGGTGCCTAAAGAAGCCAGGGTGGCTATCTAAAGAACTTTTAACTGAGTTAAGATTAAAAAGGATGTGTACAAAAAATGGAAAAGGGGAAACCACCAAAGAGGAATTCAAACAAATAGCCAGCACGTGTAGACACAAAGTCAGAAAAGCTAAAGCACAGAATGAACTCAGGCTTGCTAGAGAGGTTAAAAGCAACAAAAAAGGCTTTTATGGGTATGTTCGTAGCAAAAGGAAGAACAAAGAAACAGTGGGGGTCACTCAGAGGAGAAGATGGTGAAATGCAAACAGGGGACACAGAAAGGGCTGAACTCCTCAATGCCTTCTTTGCCTCAGTCTTCTCCGATAAAGAAAACAATGCCCGACCTGAAGAATTTGGAGCAAATGATTCAGCAGAGGAAACACAGCCCAGAATAACTAAGGAGATAGTACAAGAATACTTGGCTAGTTTATTATTATTATTTTTTTAAATGATATTTATTAAGATTTCCAATAAAAAAAAACACATCAATAAAAAAATTATGAAGAAAAAAGAAAAATACACAATTCAAAAATACACAATACGTAATCCAAAAAAAAACCAAAAAAACAAAAGACAAAAAAGAAAACAGTTAAAAACAATACCACCTTTTCATCACCATTTTTAAATTTACTCATTTTCTGGACCTCCTCATACCTCCCTCTTTTGTATTCCATTTCAATTTGTTTGTCCAGCAGTTTCTTTCCCTCTTTTTTAATCCCAATCCTTAATCTTAATATAATATAACATTAAATTTTTACCTCTTAAAAACCAAATTTCCATTTCCTTTATCTTTTTTAATCCTAATCCTTAATCTTGATCTATATACAACTTTAAAGCCTGTACAGCTAGAAGCCACTTATTTTCAGTCCAACATCACTCTAACATTCTTTAATTTTGCAATGTTTCTGCAAATAATCTTTGAATTTCTTCCAATCTTCCTCCACCGACTCTTCTCCCTGGTCACGGATTCTACCAGTCATTTCCGCCAGTTCCATATAGTCCATCAGTTTCATCTGCCATTCCTCCAGTGGGGGAAGCTCTTGTGTCTTCCAATACTTTGCGATAAGTATTCTTGCTGCTGTTGTTGCATACATAAAGAAAGTTCTATCCTTTTTTAACACCATTTGGCCGACTATGCCCAGGAGAAAGGCCTCTGGTTTCTTCAGGAAGGTATATTTAAATACCTTTTTTAATTCATTATATATCATTTCCCAGAAAGCCTTAATCTTTGGGCACGTCCACCAAAGGTGAAAAAATGTACCTTCAATTTCCTTACATTTCCAACATTTATTATCGGGCAAATGATAAATTTTTGCAAGCTTGACTGGGGTTATGTACCACCTGTATATCATTTTCATAATATTCTCTCTTAGGGCATTACATGCCGTAAATTTCATACCTGTGGTCCATAACTGTTCCCAGTCAGTGAACATAATGTTGTGTCCAACGTCTTGTGCCCATTTAATCATAGCAGATTTCACCGTTTCATCCTGAGTGTTCCATTTCAGCAGCAAGTTATACATTCTTGACAAATTCTTAGTTTTGAGTTCTAACAGTTCAATTTCTAATTTTGATTTTTCCACCTGGAAGCCAATTTTCTTGTCCAATTTAAATGCCTCCATTATCTGAAAATAATGAAGCCAGTCTCGCACTTTGTTTTTTAATTTTTCAAAACTCTGCAATTTCAGTCTATCTCCATCTTGTTCCAAAATTTCCCAATATTTCGGCCATTTGACCTCCATATTGAGCTTTTTCAAGGCTTTCGCTTCCATTGGTGACAGCCACCTTGGAGTTTTGTTTTCCAATAAATCCTTGTATCTTATCCAAACATTAAACAGTGCTTTCCTGACAATGTGATTTTTAAATGCTTTATGTGCTTTGACCTTATCATACCACAGACATGCATGCCATCCAAATACATTGTTAAAACCTTCTAGGTCCAAAATGTCAGTGTTTTCAAGAAGCAGCCATTCTTTCAACCAGCAAAAAGCTGCTGATTCGTAATAAAGTTTGGTCTGGCAGGGCAAATCCACCTCTTTCCTTTGCATCCGTTAGTATTTTAAATTTTATTCTGGGCTTCTTGCCCTGCCAGACAAATCTAGAAATATCTTTCTGCCACCTCTTGAAACAATCCATTTTGTCCACAATTTGCAAAGTTTGAAACAAAAACAACATTCTAGGCAATACATTCATTTTTATCGCAGCAATACGGCCCAGCAGTGAAAGCTTCAAATTTGACCAGATTTCTAAATCTTTTTTTCACTTCCGCCCAACATTTTTCATAGTTATCTTTAAATAATTCCCATTTTTGCTGTCATGTTGATCCCCAGGTATTTAACTTTCTTAACCACTGTTAAACCTGTCACATTCTGAAACCTCTCTCTCTCCATTGGTGTTAGATTTTTCTATAAAACCTTAGTTTTTAACTTGTTCAATTTAAATCCTGCAACTTGACAAAATTCTTGAATCAGTTCTAAAACCCTTTTAGTACTAGATTCTGGCTCCTGTAACGTCAATACTAAATCATCTGCAAATGCTCTCAGTTTGTACTGTTTAGCTCCGACCTGTATACCTTTAACCAACTGGTCCCTTCTAATCATGTTCAGCAAAACCTCCAGGAAGACACAAGAACTTCCCATGCTGGAGGAATGGCAGATGAAACTGATGGACTATATGGAATTGGCGGAAATGACTGGCAGAATCCGTGACCAGGGAGAAGAGTCGGTGGAAGAAGATTGGAAGAAATTTAAAGATTACCTACAGAAATATTGCAAAATTAAAGAATGTTAGAGTGATGATGGATTGAAATTAAGTGGTTTCTAGCTGTACAGGCTTTAAAGTTATATACAGGTCAAGATTAAGGATTAGGATTAAAAAGGTTAAAAGAATGGAAAATTGGCTATTAATAGATAAAAATTTAATGTTATATTATATTAAGATTAAGGATTGGGATTAAAAAAGAGGGAAAGGAATTGCTGGACAAACAAACTGAATTGGAATACAAAGGAGGGAGGAAACAAGTAAATGTAAAAGAAGTCATGAAAAGACGGAAATTTTTTTTAACTGTTTTTTCTTTTTACTTTGTTTTTTCTTTTTTCCTTTTGTATTTTGTATTGTGTATTTTTCTTTTTATTCTTAATTTTTTCTTTTTTATTAATGTGATTCTTTCTTTGTGAAACTATAATAAATATTATTTTAAAAAAAAACAAAAAACAGAATGCGGCAGCTAGACTGGTGACTGGGAGCGGCCACCGAGACCATATAACACCGGTCTTGAAAGACCTACATTGGCTCCCAGTATGTTTCCGAGCACAATTCAAAGTGTTGGTGCTGACCTTTCAAGCCCTAAACGGCCTCGGTCCAGTATATCTGAAGGTGCGTCTCCACCCCCATCGTTCTACCCGGACACTGAGGTCCAGCACTGAGGGCCTTCTGGCGGTTCCCTCACTGCGAGAGGCCAAGCTACAGGGAACCAAGCAGAGGGCCTTCTCGGTAGTGGCGCCCGCCCTGTGGAATGCCCTCCCATCAGATGTCAAAGTGATAAACAACTACCTGACATTCAGAAGACATCTGAAGGCAGCCCTGTTCAGGGAAGTTTTTAATATGTGACATTTTAGTGTATTTTTCATCTTTGTTGGAAGCCGCCCAGAGTGGCTGGGAAACCCAGCCAGATGGGCGGGGTACAAATAATAAATTATTATTATTATTATTATTATTATTATTATTATTATAGTCATGTCCGCCTCTTCATGACCCCCTGGACCAGAGCACACCAGGCACTCCTGTCTTCCACTGCCTCCCGCAGTTTGGTCAAACTCATGCTGGTAGCTTCGAAAACACCGTCCCACCATCTCGTCCTCTGTCATCCCCTTCTCCTTGTGCCCTCCATCTTTCCCAACATCAGGGTCTTTTCCAGGGAGTCTTCTCTTCTCATGAGGTGGCCAAAGTATTGGAGTCTCAGCTTCAGGATCTGTCCTTCCAGTGAGCACTCAGGGCTGATTTCCTTAAGATTGGATAAGTTTTCTCTTCTTGCATTCCAGGGGACTCTCAAGAGTCTCCTCCAGCACCATAATTCAAAAGCATCATTTTTTCGGCGATCAGCCTTCTTGATGGTCCAGCTCTCACTTCCATACATCACTATTGGGAAAACCAGAGCTTTAACTACATATGGACCTTTGTTGGCAAGGTGATGGCTCTGCTTTTTAAGATGGTGTCTAGGTTTGTCATTGCTTTTCTCCCAAGAGTTGAGCATATTAAAAGGTCATAAATGTATTGCAGAAGCACAGACCCTGCAGGCAGAAGTACGTCCTGTAGCTCTTGATGCAAGATTGAGGAAAATATGGCGGGTGACTCCGCATATCCCTGGGGCAGCCTTGTCCAGATTAGTTGGCCTGCTTTCCAGGTAAAAGCAAAAGGAACTACCAGGTAGTTTCTGCCAGGATGGCATTTAAAAGGGAATTTGGGTTGCCTGCCACTGGGAGGCACTGTATCACAAATTGGTTAACGAGTCTCAAATCTTGGACTAAGCAGTAGCACACTGGGGTCCCGTCCCCCCACCGGTTTTTTAATCGGAAGTAAGGAGGTATTACAAGGAAAGGCGCAATGAACTAGAATTCCCTTCTCTGGGAAATCATTTATCATGGGATCTCAAGCCTTTAATAGCCTCTTTAGGTACGGGGGATTGTTGACTACATGGGTATGGTAGATCTGTCCAACTGGCGTGGCTGATTTTCAAAGTCCTAATGAGGTGGATTCTGTTCCCCATAGCCAGGGAGGCACCTCCTCTTCTAACTCTGAGGGAAGGTCAGGGAATTGGTGCTCTGTTTTTGTTTCCTGTATTATTCCTTGGAAGGCAAAGACAGACTCTTCAGGCATATGTTCCTCACAAGCAGAGGGCTCCTCCACATCTGAGAGGGCAGGGTGGGGGGCAAAGAGGCCGGGTAGCGGGGGGCAGGTCTGAGGGGTCCAGTCCCTGCTCTGGTTCTCTCAATACTCACCCCTCTGGTAGGGATGTGGAACCACAGCAGAACTGCAAAGAGAAGGACATGGGGACAGGTGAGTCCCTCCCTGAGCACCTGGCAAGGCTATTCCAAGACTTTCCCCCCACATTCCAAGTCCTACTACAGGGGAGGGACACCCCAGGCCTTGGGGGTCAATCCTGGCCTCCTTCCCCCAGAACGTGGTTCCCCAGGGAAGGTGCCCGTCCAGCTGACAACTGCCCCACAGCCCAGCCCCCTGCTTCCTTATCAGACCCCACAAATGGGGTGGCCACTGGGGGGTTGGCTTTCCAGTCACTGGCCCAGATGGACCTTTGGTTCGGATCCAGCCATCTGGTTCTTTGCATCTTTTGACTAGGGACGCGGGTGGCGCTGTGGGTAAAACCTCAGTGCCTAGGACTTGCCGATCGTATGGTCGGCGGTTCGAATCCCCGTGGCGGGGTGAGCTCCCGTCGTTCGGTCCCAGCTCCTGCCCACCTAGCAGTTCGAAAGCACTCTTAAGTGCAAGTAGATAAATAGGGACCGCTTTATAGCGGGAAGGTAAACGGCGTTTCCGTGTGCTGCGCTGGTCTGGCTCGCCAGGTGCGGCTTCGTCACGCTGGCCACGTGACCCGGAAGTGTCTTCGGACGGCGCTGGCTCACGGCCTCTAGAGCAAGATGAGCACGCAACCCTAGAGTCGGACACGACTGACCCGTACGGGTAGGGGTACCTTTACCTTTACCTTTATCTTTTGACTAGCTGCCCCCCATGCCCATTCCTGCCCTCCTCTGTCCCAAAAAGGAGGGCCACTTGCTCACCTGGCGCCACGGGCTGCTCCGGGCCTTGCTGGGGGGCCACCCTGTTGCAGCGTCTGAACAGGCGCCTTAAGCACCTGATCCTAGAAGAGACGAGCAGAGAGATCGACTCAGAAGCCAGGAGCCCCAATTCTTGGGGGGTGTTTGTTTGTGAGGAGGGGCGTCTGGAGAAGACAAGGAACCACCGCTGAATTGGCAGAACAGAAATACGTATGTGGAACCTAATTGATCCTTGCTGGCCCATCATGACCAATTCCTTCTGTCTCTCTGCAGTTCAGTGACCTGAAAGGGCATCATCAGAGCCTGAAAGAGGCAGCCCAGAGCACGAAGGGCTGGCAGACAGAGAAAGGAGGCCCCAAGTGCTCTGGGTTCAAGAGCTACGGCCATGCCAGGACCCAGAGAGCCTGGCTCCCTCATTCATGCAGTCAAGCAGTATATAAATTTCATGAAACAAATGAAATAAACAGGGAGAGGGGAGAGCTGTGGGTCATTATTAACATGGATGGGAACTTATTCTCATAATGTTTAATTGGTTGGTGAAATTGGAAGCCACAAGATGCAGCAAGGACAACAGGCTTGCCAGTTTGGAACAGGGGTCACGTCTCTTCACAGGAGGAGGAGGAGGAGAGTATCTCTGGTTATAATCAGACCTAGCTGTCTAGAGCTTCCAGCTAGAGTCTAGCATGGAAGGCACCTGCGGGAGGACAGGCCACAGGAGTGGGCTGTCGCTGGTGGGCTTCCTGGAGACATCTGCTTGGCCTTGGCTCTGGGCGGAAGCCCCTTCTCCTGCTATGCCATATCCCTTGCTATATTCAACGCTCCAGCCCAAAGGAAAGAGAAGCATTGCCAGCCGTTCAAGGGCTGCTCTGCATCATCTTCTTAGGAGAGCCCTGCCCTTCCTGGAGAGGGAGGAGACCCCTAGGAGGGACCTCCAAGTCTCAAGGGGTCCCAGAAGAGGAGCAGAACCTGAGGGAGGTGGTGCAGACTTCCTTGGAGCCAGAGAGACCCCCAGGAAGGGGGAGAAGGGGGAGCTGGTGTTGGGCAGCTGGAGAGATGCAAGATGGAGCCAGGCAGAGGTGTAGCAGTTGGAGGGCGGGACTAGGAGGACCTGGGAGAGCAGGGTTCGAATCCCCACACAGTCATGAAGCTCCCTGGTGGACCTTGGGTCAGCCTGGCCTACTTGGCAGGGCTGCTGAGAAGATAAAATTGGTGGCAGGGAGAACCATGATGGCCACCTTGAGCTCCTGGGAGGAAAATGGTCTAGGAATGTCATAATAAATGATAAGAGGGGAGAGAAAGGGGAAGGCATGGAAAGAGTGTGGAGGAGCTGAGCAAAAAATAAAAGTAAAACGTAAGACAAAAGTGTTAAAATAAAAAGTAAAATAATAAATAAAATAAAATGAATCAAATAAAAGTAATAAATCAAAATCAAAATAAGAAACTGGAAAAATAACAATAAACCAAACGCTTCTCCTTATCTTCTCCAACCGCCACCAACTCCTCTCTCCTCCACTCCCCTCACTCCTAATCCACAATGGCTGCCTGAAAGTCAGTGGCTTTTAAGGGAGAAGCAAGAGATGTCACAAAGGAGGGCGGGTCCTTGTCACCGTGGCAACCCCCTCACCTGGACCCGGGCCCACCTGGTGATGCTCCTCCTTCAGAACTCGGAGGCCCCTGCTGTTCCGCCTGCAGCTGGGCTGCATCTTCCTTTCACCTCCTTCTTCCTGCAGCCCCATTCCCAAAGGGAGACCAGCCCCACATCCTCCCAGGCAGGCTAGGGGTCTCCATAGCGCAGGATTGGACCATCTGCTTTGCATTCAGAATTTCCATCCTGGGCGGCATCTCCGGGGGGGCTGACAATGTCCCCCCCCGAACCCTGGAGAGCAGCTGCCGATCAGTGCAGGTGATGCTGGTCCTAGTCCAGCCATTACACTGGCTCCTCCTCCTTGAATTAATCTAATATCCTTTTGAGATCAGAGAGACCTTTGTCTAGTTCAAGAAGGGTACTGAGCAGCTGGAAGGGCAGCAGAGGGGGGCAGCCAGGAGGATCAAAGGTCTGGAGACCAAGCCTGATGAGGAACAGTTGAGGCAGTTGGGTATGTTTGGCCTGGAGAAGAGGAGACTGAGAGGAGAGCCATCTTCCAATATCTCAAGGGCTGCCAGAGGGACCAAGCTTGTCTTCTGCTGCTCCAGATGGGAGGGTAGGAAAGGAGATTCAGACTAAACATCAGGAAGAACTTTCTGATGGCCAGTCTCTCTGGGACGGTGGTGGACTCTCCTTCCTTGGAGGCTTTTAAGCAGAAGTTGGATGGCCACCTGTGAGGATTCTTCACCCGTGACTCCTGCGTTGCAGGGGGCTGGACTAGATGACCCTCGGGTCCCTTTCCAGCTCTACAATTCTGACTCTAGGAATCCATGCCTGCAAGTGCAACCTGGAGGAGCTTTTCCAGAAGGGATGCCCTCCTCAGGCCACATCCTGCTGTGACCCACGTGAGGCAAAGGGCTCAGTCTGGAGAGCAAAGCTCTGGTGGTGCGTCAGCCTTTCAGAATCCTTATTTAATGGGAAGTGAACAAGTCGTCTTTTGCAACGGTTCATGGAAGTTCTAGGAGCTCCTTTGCCCAGCTGGACCAGTATCCCCTTTCCCCCATTTTGGGAAGGGTGACCTGCTCTGAACTCTCTCCTCCTCCACGTTGCAGGTCATGCAGTCCTTGGGGGGGGGGGGGAACCACCATGTCAGAACCATCCTAACCAAGAAACTCTGCCTTTTCCCAGGACACCAAGACTGAGAAAGTGCCTCTGCCTTTTCTGGATGCTGTGGGTGGGGGGCACAGAGTCTTCTTAGCCAGTGTGGTTCAGGGACAGCCTTCCGATGCTGCAAAGGCTGCTGGGGGCAGCCCACCCTCCCGGATCGTTCCCCCCAGACCCTGGCCACCCTGCCTCAGATCGGCCTCTGGAGTCCCCACAGCTGCAATATGGGGAGTGTATAGCACTGGCCTACTTTACAGGGTTGTTGTATCCACACAGGACTGCTCAGCATCCGAAAGTGCCTGGCAAATGTGGAGCCTTCCCTTTCCTTGGGGGGAACATCTGCAGCGCATCAGGAGGCCTCCCTCCACTTCCTTTCTTCTCTCTCCTGTGGCCAAAGGGGCCATGCTGGATACCAAATAGGCAGAGTACACCCTGGCCCTTTTAGGCACCCGGGGACAATGGATCAAAATAATTCTGATTTGATCTTAAAAGAAAATGGCAATCAAGCTTTCTTAGTTCAATGTTATTCCAGGGGACGCATGAGGCCCTCCACCCGCCCTGAGTTCGACTGCCTAGGGGCCTCCCTCCACAGGGTGTAATCCAGCCCTGCCCCATGAACTGGCCTCATCCTCTTCTATTTTTAATTATTATTTATTAAAGATTTTGTTGATTTACAAAAGTGTGTGCATTGTCTCTCTCTCGTATTTCCCCCCCCCCCCCATGTAACATTTTACAAATCAGTTTCATTTGCTGAGACATTAGGAAGAAAAGGGGGAAAGAGGTGGGGGTGGGGTCGGGTGGTGATGTTTCTATTTTACTTAATATATGTGTGGGGTTTGGTGTCAGCGTTGCTTGTGCAGGTTCTCTGCTGTTCACTTGTGTTCCTTTGGTGGTGAGAGAGGTTGGGGTTGGCCGAGGGTGTGGCTGTTCATTTGTGGTTGGCTGTGGTGGTCTTTTTTTTCATGTGTGAGTGGGGTGGGTGGGTGTTTTGGATCAGGTTAGCCATACTGATTTGTATGCTGTTGGTGGATTTTTGTCATTGTCTTGTTGGGCTGTGTGTGTGATAAAGGGGAGCCATACCGGGGTGAAGGTGTCTTCTTCTATTTGTCCCCGTGTCAGTTTCAGTTTATTGGTTAATTTTTCTAGTAGGGCTGTTTCCCATCCTATTTGGTAGCCTCACCCTCTTTTTAGCCACCCAGCTGGGGGGCCATCCCTGCCTCCTGCAGGAGGGAGTTCAGTGGTTCAACTCTGCACCCCATAAAGAAGCGCTTTCTTTTCTCTGTGCCTCCCTCTCCCAACCGTCTTTCTTGTTGGATTGCAGAGGTGGAGTTTTCGGTTTCATTTCTTGCCTTTATCTGACGCCAAATGTTTGTGTCTGGCTTCAGCCTCTGAAACCAGCTGGCTCCGTCTACCACGAGGTGCCCTTCAGAGCTGGCAGGGGGGGAGGGCTGCTTCCCTGTTCTTCTTCTGCTGCAGGTTTCGAACTCCTCTCCTCCCTGGCTCCGTTGGCCAACCATCCCTGGAATTGCGCCAGGAGTTGTGCTTTGACGCACCTGCCATTTAGGGGGGTCTGGACTGCTGCTCTTCTTGTCATTTTAACTTTGGCAAACCGTCTATTGGAACCAATCGGTTCTCTGCCGAAACCTGACTTCTCCAAAAACAAAACATGTCGCGCCAGGGAAAAGGTTAGCACTGAATTTTGCGAGAGCGCTGAGGGAGCTGGGTACAAAAAGAGTGGCTGTGAAGCCTGGCATAACACGGCATTCGAGAGGGACCATCCAAGACAACTTTGCTCTTCTGTAGCAACATCTGGGCCTTTTGACTTGATAGAAAAGGCAAGGAAGAGGACCCACAAGAGAGCTGCACAAACTGGCACATGGGAAATACTAGAAGATGCAAAGCTGATGATTCGGGGCAAACAAAAGGAAGACCTTTTCCACGCAACATAAGAACCCCCTGCTTCTTGCTTCTGCCATGCTTATGGGTCTCAGTTCCCCACAGGCACCTGGCTGACCCCTGGGAAAAGAGGAGGCCGGATTCTGATGCCCTGCGGGGCTCATGTTAGGTTCTTGGGTTCTCATGCCAAGAAGTCAGGAGTCATTTGCCCCCCCCGCCCCGTCCCGGAATGGCCATCTCCTCCTGCTGCCTCTTGGCAAACTGAGCAAGGCTGCCCCCCACCCTGATGCCTCCTCTTGGCCTTCCCCAGAACGAACTTTATGTTGGAGCTTGAAAGCCTCTCTCCCCCCTCCATCCAGCAGCTCTGTTTCCTTCCATGGAGCTGGCAGGGCTGACTCTTCGTGACCTCATGGACCAGAGCACGCCAGGCACTCCTGCCTAGGACCCTCGTACCCATGGGACCGCCTCTCCTGGTATGTCCCACGGAGGAACTTACAGTCTTCAAACAAAAACATCTTGGAGGTCCCGGGCCACAGGGAGGTTAGGCTGGCCTCGACCAGAGACGAGGCTTTTTCGGCTGTGGCTCCGATCTGGTGGAACGCTCTGCCTCATGAGGCCAGGGTGATATTTAAGGACATTCCAAAGCATCTGCTGCACTTAAGGTTCAAATACGGAAATTTAGTGGCCCTGTTGAAAAGAAATAGAATTATTTTTAGGTGGGAATTTCCTCAAGGCCTGTCCTTTAAATACAAAGGAAGAAAGATAAAAATAAAATCAGTTGATGAAAAAGACAGGTTCTTGAAAGACCACGAGGAAGATCTACAGAAAGAAGTGAAATCTGAAGAAGAGCCAAAAGGCATATTAGACATATCAAATCTATCTTTTGGATTGCACAGCCCAGAAAAAGTGACACTACCCACAGAACAAGAACTGACACTCGGAGCAGTTGGAGGTAAAGTGAAGTAGCCCCATCATGGCTCTGCAACTATTAAGCTGGAATTGTAATGGTTTGAACTCTCCTCGAAAGAGAAAAAGTGTGTTTCATTTATTTAAAAAAGAACAATTGGACTTGATTTGTTTACAAGAAATACATATAACAAGGGCACATAGGAAGTTACTGATTAATAAAAGATTGGGACAGGAGTTTGTTTCATCTGACAAAGTAAAAAAAGAGGAGTTGTGATTTATGCAAAGGAGAGACTATCACCGAAATTTATCTTTAAAGACGACCAAGGAAGATTTTTGGCAAT